CCCCGGGTGGAGATCGGCTCCCAGCACCACCCATCCTGCCCTGGTGACGTCCTTCCCGTCCATCCTCCGGGCCCCGGTCAGGTTTTTTTGAGCAGATGAAATACCTCAGATATGTTCGTGTTGTCGGGGGTTTGTTTTGTTTGTTTGTTTGTTTCGGGTTGGTTTTTTTTAACCTCTTCAGGAAGTATTGGCATATCTTATCGCTTGGTTTTTTTATATGTGGTTTTGCTGACATTGTGTTTGTTTGTTTGTTTTTTTAATTGTTTTTAATTGTATCACCAAAGACAGAAAGAAAAGCTGAGTGAAGGAGCAGTGGCTTTGCCATCCTTCAGGCTCGCAGGAGACAAGCCGAACGGCGTTGTCCCAGGACATGTGCGTGATGCGGGAGGACAGGCAGAGGCAAGGCAAGAGGGCAAGAGCGACGGCTGACTTCTGAGACCTGCCCTTCGCGTTGGGCGCGAGGGTGTCTCCAGAGTCCCTGGGATTTTCCCAAGCTGCAGGGTCTGCGCTTACCTTTAGCAAAGCTGCTGGGCGACGACAGCGGCGCTCGCGCCCCGGGGCGGCCCAGCCTCCTGCGGCGAGGGGGGAGCAGCCCTGCCAAGGCGCAGCTGGTCCTGTCCACCCGCCAGACTGAGCCGTCTGGGGTAGCCGTGGCCGGAGGCACCAGAAGCAGCTGTTGCTCTGGGTTTTTTCCCCCTGTGCCCATGCAACAGCTGCCTGAGCCAGAGGTTGAAGTGAAAACCACATTACAACTCCAGAGGTTCAGCACGATCCCTCTGCTCTCAGGGTGCCCAGCTCCCCGCAGCTTGTTGTTTTATACTACTGAACAGAGCGCGGCTTTAAAAACCACGGGCCGGGCAGCGGCACTGGAAAAGCCCCGCCGGCAGCCGGGGCCTTAACAACGTACTCAGCAAACGCAGTGGATAATCCTTTAAACTCTCCGATGCCAGGTTCTCCTGCTGAGTCCCCCGGCGTTGCTGTTCTGTCCCCGAGAGCCGAGTGCTCGTGCTGAGGCTGGTGTGAACCACGGGCAGGGCCTCTCCGTGCTTGCTGCGCGTTAGTTTATACGCTACGGCTGGAGTGACGCCGCGACCCGGCGTCCTGAGGACTCGGCGGGAGGAGGAGAGAAAGCGGCTGGGAGCGCACATGTCCTGGGAGCGATGCCGCTCTGCTATGTCCCGCCGCCGGGCTATTTTCGCTGGAGTAACACGGGGGGGAACCGAGCTGCTCTTGAGCTGCAGGGCCTTGGCCGGGCAGATCCCGCAGGCCTCCTTCACGGCATTTCATCCTTGCAGGCACGGAGAGGGTTTTCCAGACTCGGGGGCTCATTCAGATTGGGGGGGTTTTCCCTTTTTTGTTTTCCTTTGGTTGGTTGGTTGGGTGTTTTTTTTTTTATTTGGGGGTGGGTTTGGGGGCTGTTTCCTACAAGTGGGACTGGGGGAACTTTTTGCTTTTCTTATGCTTTCTTCTCTGGTCCTGGGGAGCAGAGGTTAGTAATGGGTGGTTTCGCTTATGTATCACATGCTAACATTGTGTTTTCTTGCACAGAAAGGCACTCGAATCACTGAACTGCTAAACGGCTTTGACACTACTAGAGTATTAATGTTTATAAGCTTTACACAACTAGACTGGAAATAGACAGGGACTAACAGATTGTTTTGTATCCAATTCAGGGAAAGAATCAAGTCGGGATGCGTAACAGATACCTCAGTAAAAATAAGCTGCAACAATAAACTGGTCCTTGCTCAGTAGGCAATGAGAAGGACTGGCCGTTCAGACTGTGAAGAGTAACCCTTTCCCGAAGCCCGGCTTTGGTCCTGGCCGCTGGCTTCGCGCTGAGCTCCGGATCTCCTACTGAGCTGCAGTGCTTTGGGGACAGGGTTCTGGAAACCAGCAGCAGAGATGGGGGGGGAGGAGCTGGGAGCCGGGGAGGGCCGAGCAGGGGTGGCGGATCCCCCCTTCTCCCCAGCTCCGCTTCATTTTACTCGCTCGTGTTCAATTGTATAGTACTCAGGGGTTTTGATACTGCGGGTAGGACTGTTCCTTGCGCGAAGCGCTCCGCTTTGCCATGTGGCTAATTCTCGTTCAACTCCAGACCAGCGAAGGTTTTCGCAGTGAGCAGCCAAAAATAAAAATAAATGCCCCCAGCTTGCTTTCGTGCAGCCTCGATGCTCCTGTTTGAGGGGGAGATTTGCCAGCTGGGCTTGGTGCCCACCTGGGGAAGAAAAAGCAAACCAAACCTGCTCATCCTCTTCCAGCAGATCCCAGTTTGCGCTGGGACGGCACAGAGATCATGAGCTGGGCGAAGGGGGGGAGGCTGTGCGCCTGCTTGGCTCCCAAAGTGAATGTGAAGGTGGCATACCAAGTCCTTGTGGCCGCTGCGCGTGTGTGTGAGCGTGCTCCGGGCGCAGTCAGGTCAGAAGATGTTTTCACCAAACAGCTGCAGCAGCCTTGCTACTAGTTTTCTTACCT